AGTGTCGTGGAGAGTCCCCATTGATCAACTGTCACAGAAAACAGTAAATGTGGTATTAGCTTTAGCCAACATTGCTAATTTCCAGCTGTTCCAATAAACAACACACGTTACTACATACATGTCACATATAGCACAGCACTATCACACAACAGAAACGATCACAACACACACGCCACTTCCAACACAGACTAGTGTGTGCAGGTTCTCAGTGATCCATGTTTTTAAGTGAGCTGTAAAGGTGCTACAGTCACAGCAACAAATCCATGCTTTCTGAACATGAATCCTACCACTTTAAACTTCACCACAGTAGGTGTGTGTGTGTGTGTGTGTGTGTGTGTGTGTGTGTGTGTGTGTGTGTGTGTTTGATGTTTGGTGTGTGTGTTTGATGTCTGGTGTGTGTGTGTGTGTTTGACGTCTGGTGTGTGTTTGACGTCTGGTGTGTGTGTGTTTGACGTCTGGTGTGTGTGTTCTGCTGCAGGTGTGACCAGCTGGGTGAAGACCTGGAAGGTGAACGGCTGGAGGCTGAAGTCTGGAGGTCCGATCACAAACAAAGACGACTTCATGAAGCTGGACAAACTGAACGCAGAGGTGGAGGTGGTCTGGGTAAATATCCGTAAATAATGAAAGTCATATATTCCAGAAACACTGAAGAGCCAAAGCTAAGGAGTTGATATTGTTGGATAAAATGAAAAGTCACCCCATTTCTAACTTTTACTTTCTTAAATGGATGATTTAGAGAGGTTTCATTTCTCCTCCACCAAAGCAGCAACGTACAAAAACGTTGTTGTGTGACTCTGCCTTCATTTAGTGAAAAACAATATGTATTATAGAAAAGCTAAGTTTTCTTCTTGTTTCTCATATTTTTAGCTTAACGTGAAGACAGTGAACATGAGGATCAATTACAAATTAATATAACACCAATCAGTAGGTTTAAACAGACTGGCACTGTAAAGGGGAGATGTTACTTTATGTTTCCATGACAACATGTTGTTGTTTTTTATAAATGTTAGCCTGTAAAGTACCCTTCCAAAACTGTGAGGGCTTTCAAATGTATTATTCTGTCATTTCAAATGCAAAATATAGTCAATGTAACGTGATAAGCACGGATAAAAGCATGGCATATTAATATATAAGGCTGAAGACAGCTTTTTCTGACTCTCATGTATGAAAGGTCGTGTTAATTAACATTATTAGTGATTATTTGTACGTCCTTTTCACTTATCGTCTCAGCTCTCTGTGGTTTTAAAACTTACAAAGGCTTCACAATTATTGAATTATTGATGGAGGTTACGTTGGATGAAAGGTGTTTATGACTTAAAATAATTTACGTGACAAGAGTGTGACGTTGCCCATGTGAGGATAACAAAAAGGTACCATAACCATCACATTTTGACCTTAGGGAATTATATTTGTCATTTTAATTGGAGCTTTCTGGAGAATCTGAGTTTATTTGGAACACTATCTTAAAAGTCAAAAATCAGTCCGAACAAGCAGCTCGAGCTGAGGTAATCACATCAAAAGCCTTTTCAGGTCAGAAAACAAATGTATTTGTTCCTCTTCTTCCTCCAGTTGCATGTCCCGGGTCACTCGGGCTTCAGAGGGAACGAGGAGGCGGACAGGCTGTCGAGGGAAGGAGCTCTGAAGCCTCTCCCCAAGAAGCAGCAGTAGCTCGGAGAAAGATACTTTTACTGAGAAGAGATTTGCTGCAGGACAGTTTGGTCTGTTTCTCTACAGGAGAGGACGATTTCCTGTTAAATGTTAATTTTAATTATTTGTTTTTGCTCTAAATAAAGCTTATTCCACATCTGGATGTTTATTTTCAGAAACAGGTTTATTGCCAGGTAGGTTCACACGTACGAGGAATTTGACTTGATGTCATGGTGGAGACATACAAAATAAAACAAGAAATCTAATATAAAACAAAAAAATAAAATACAGTTATGTAGCAATAAAATAAATCAGTAATTGACATGGAAACACAATGCAATGAATGAATTATAGGATATGAAATATGTGCAGTAATCAGTGTGAACATTGTGTGGATTAATGTAATGCATATAGAGACTACGTTGTGTCTGAGGTAAGTGTCAGTGGGGGGCCGGGCCTGGTTTAAGAGGCCGGTAGCGGAGGGGAAGAGACTGTTCAGGTGGAGAGAGGTTTTAGTCCTGATGGAGCCTCCTGCCAGAGGGGAGGGGGGTGGACAGTTTGTGGGAGGGGTGGGCCACTGTCTTCCCAGCCCGTGATGCAGCATGACATTAAAGTATGAGGTTTCTTCTGAGGATTGTTGCTTTGTTAATTTTTTAGGAAAGTTTAGGAACGTTTTATTCAAACAGGAACAAAAGACAGTTTTCTCCACCATATCTGTCAACTTCTCCTCTCCTGTGATTTTTAACGTGAAACCACTTTATTCAAAGTTTTTAACACTTTTAATCCGTGTTTCTCTCGCACACTGTTTTGCTGCTGCTAATGTTTGCTCAGCTTGTTTGTCTGATAACTAAAACCCTTCATCCAGTTAGAATATAGAAATAAAAAGCACCTATATTTAATCGAGTATGGTAAAGATGTGGCTTAAAACCAGGTAAAAAGTCAATTTATGCGAAAAAATATATAAGCAGACCAGAGGCCAGTTCAACAAACCCTGGATATCTTGGAGTTATCTGCTTTAACTAATCCTGGGTTGATTTATCGAGTTTATAACCAGTTCAAACTGTATTTCCTTAATCCTGACCTATGGTATCACTTCATAACTTTAAACTCCCCACACTGCTCTGATTGGTCGGCAGAGATGGCAAAAGTACACACATCCTTTACTCAAGTAGAAG